GCCTGAGCTTGTTGCTGCCGCTCGTGGTGCGGGTCCTGATGCTGTCGATTCCCATTGTTTGACATTGGGCTCTGCACAGCTGAGCATTTCACGGCCTCTCATTGGAAACGCCTTGATATGCTGGAGGAGGAGGAAGAGAAGGTTGTCATCCTCCGTCGTCGCACTGCTCGTGCTGCTGCTGCTGCTGCTCACTCAGCATTTCTATTATTTCCTCTCGTGGACGCTGCGCTTGCTTTGGCACATTGTGCATTGCGTCGGAATCTTGGACTTCTACTTCCTTGGCTTGGACCCGCTACTCGTTTACCTGACGTGTCCCGTGCTGTAGTCACTCGTCCTCTTGCCGACCAGGTCCGCAAAGCTTCGCTCCGTGCTGTCGTGTGCAGCGAGCGCCTGACCTTGAAATTGACTACCTACCAGACCACCCCAACCCAACCCGAAGACCCGAATTTGACCCAAATTTCGGGTTGGGGGGGTACGGGCTCCATTTGTTTTTCCATGTTCCCTCACCCCCCCACTGGAAATGAAGAGCGAATTGAGGTTTTCGGGTTGGGTTGGTGTGGTTTGGTGGGTGGCGAGAAGCACGGTGCCTGCACTCGCCATCTTGCTGATGGGCCTGTTTTCCACCACCACCACCACCACCATAAGTTGGAGGGGGTGGGTCGGGTGCTTCTGCGGTGGAGTGTAACTCGTTGATTTTCGTTCGTGTCGAACGGCGTCCTAGGAATCGGGCGTCGTGGTACAACCCAGGGTCGTCAGGACGTAACAGTCAGGTTCACTCGTGGCGTTGGAGTCATGAGAATGGTGCTTTGGCGCGCTTCAGGATTTCCACACGGTTGCCCCCATCGCGGGGCAATTCCCTCAGCGAGCATGAACCGTTGTAGGGACCTGTGAAGAGGGAGCTTGGAGGGAGGGTGTATTCCAACATCGTTGATGAGTCTTGGGTCCCACCTGGTCCTCCTCCTCCTCCGCCTCACCCGCCTCCTCCGCCTCCTCCTACTCCTACTCCTCCTCCTCCTCCTCCTCCTCCTCCTCATCACCATCATCATCAGCAGCATCATCACCATCATCATCACCACCACCAGCATCCTCATGATCACCATCATCAGCAGCAGCAGCATCACCATCATCGTTAAGCATCCTCCCCCTCCTCTTAATCCTCCTCCTCCTCCTCATCATCATCATACTCAGAATGATCATCATCTGCATCATCATCATCATCATCATCATCATCATCATCATCATCATCAGCATCATCATCATCATCGCCATCAGCATAGACATCATCATCGTCATCATCACCACCACCACCACCATCGCCATCATCATCAGCATCATCGTTATCAGCAGAAGTATCACACTCATCATCAAAAGCATCATCATCACCATGATCATCATCGTCATCATCATCACACTCACCATCACCATCACCATCACCATCACCATCACCATCATCATCATCATCATCATCATCATCATCATCATCATCATCACCATCATCATCATCATCATTATCATAATCATCAACAGTACCATCATCATCAACATCATCATCATCATCATCATCATTATCACCAGCAGCATCAACTTCATATTCATCAACACCACCATCAGCATCAACATCATCATCATCATCGTCATCATCGCCATCGTCATCGTCATGATCATAATCAGCATCAGCAGCATCATCATCAATCCTCATCATCACCACCACCATCATCACCATCAACATCATAATCATCAGCATCGCCATCATCATGAGCATCAGCATCTTCATCAACATCTGCATCATCACCAGCATCAGCATCATCGTCATCATCTCCATCACCATCATCATCATAATCAGAAGAAGCATCATCGTCATCATCATCAGCAGCAGCATCGGCATAAGCATCAGCAGGATCGTCAGTGTTGCCATCACCTGTATCAGCATCATCATCAGCATCAGCACCATCACCATCAGCATCATCAGCATCAGCATCATCACAATCGTCATCATCATCAACACCAGCATCATCATCACCATCATCAACATCATCATCATCGTCATCATCATCACAATCACCAACACCATCATCATCATCATCAACAACATTCCCATTATCATCATCACCATCATCATCAGAATCATCATCACAATTACCATCACCACCATCATCATACTCATAATGATCATCATCTGCATCATCATCATCATCATCATCATCAGCATCATCATCATCATCATCGCCATCAGCATAGACATCATCATCGTCATCATCACCACCACCACCACCATCGCCATCATCATCAGCATCATCGTCATCAGCAGCAGCATCACACTCATCATCAACAGCATCATCATCACCATCATCATCGTCATCATCACCATCACAATCACCATCACCGTCATCATCATCAACATTACTATCATCATCATCGTTATCAGCAGCATCATCCTCATATTCACCATCACCCTCATCAACATCATCGTCATCATCAGCATCATCATCATCGTCATCGCCATCGTCGTCGTCATCGTCATGATCATAATCAGCATCCACATCAGCATCAGCAGCTTCATCATCATCCTCATCATCATCACCACCATTATCACCATCATCACCATCATCATCATCATCACCATCATCATCATCATAATCCTCAGCATCGCCGTCATCATCATGAGCATCAGCATCTTCATCAACGTGTGCATCATCACCAGCATCATAATCATCGTCATCATCTCCATTACCATCACCATCATCATCATAATCAGCAGCAGCAGTATCATCGTCATCATCATCAGCATCATCATCAGCAGCATCAGCATCGTCACCATCAGCATCATCATCAGCATCATCTCCATCGTCATCGTCATCGTCATCATCATCATCACCATCATCAGCATCATCATCATCAACATCAGCATCATCGTCATCATCTCCATCACCATCATCATCATCATAATCATCATCTTCATCACCTTCATCACCATCATCACCATCATCATCATCATCATCATCATCATCAACACTCGTCGCCGCTTCCACCTCCTCCTCCTCCTCCCCTCCTCCTCCTTCTCCTTCTCCTCCCTCTCCGCCACCGCCGTCGCCGCTTCCTCCTCCTCATCTTCCGACTCCTCCTCCTCTACCTCCCCTGTTCCGCATCCTCCTCCTCCTCCTCCTCGTCCTGTCGTCCTCCTTCTCCTTATCCTCCTCCTCCTTCCCCTCCTCCTCCACCTCCATCTTCCTCCTCCTCATCCTCCTCCCTGTCCCTCTCCTGCTGCTGCGTAGTCGACACGGCCGGTACGAACGCGCGGAAACACAAACCACCTCTGCATCCTCCCACTTCTCCTCTTCATCATCGTCGGCCTTCCCTTCTCCCCGGCCCCCTGCTCCCCCCCTCCTCCGCCTCCTCCTCCTCCTCCCCCTCCTAGTCCTCTGGGCGGAGATGCCACGAGGACTTGCCCGGCACAAGGCCGTGGCATGGTTTGGGCCAGCGGGGTGCCCCTCCCCACACCACCACTCATCATGCCTGCGAGTTGTCATATCGCACCTTGCGATCCGCAGCCTGGTGCGACCTGGAATGTTGCTGCACGGCGCGCGGTGCCCGTGTAGTAGAATTCCGACCAATTGAGGTCGGATGTGCACACGTCTCACAACTGCTGACACCCGGAAGGCCGAGTCCTGCCCGGTCCTGCGCTATCCTATTCTGTCCTCCTCCTCCTCCTCCTCCTCCTCCACCTCCGCCTCCCGTTCCTCCCCCCCTCCCCCTCCTCCTCGTCTTCCCCCCACTCCGCCCCCCCCTCATCCTCACCTTCATCCGTACCGTCCTCCTCACCCTCATCCTCCTCCCCTTCTCCACCCCCCTCCTCCTCCTCCTCCTCCTCCTCCTCCTCCTCCTCCTCCTCCTCCTCCTCCTCCTCCTCCTCCTCCTCCTCCTCCTCCTCCTCTCCTCCTCCTCCTCCTCCTCCCTCCTCCTCCTCTCCTCCTCCTCCTCCTCCTCCTCCTCCTCCTCCTCCTCCTCCTCCTCCTCCTCCTCCTCCTCCTCCTCCTCCTCCTCGGCTCCATCCCCGCTCGCTCGCTAACTGGGGCTTACAAGTTTGAGCCCGTGTGAGAAGCTCAAATATACAGGTCGTGCCATCATAGTTTCATGTTCCTCCTCATCATCCTCTAGCTCCCCTCGTTCTCCTCCTCAGTATCGCTGTTCTCCTCCACCTTCTCCTCCTCCTCCACCTCCTCCTCCTCCTCGCTCTCCTTCTCTTTCCTCTTCCTCCTCCTCCTCCTCCTCCTCCAGTCCCCCTCCCTCCTCCTCTCCTCCTCCTCGTCCTCCTCCTCGTCCTCCTCCTCGTCCTCCTCCTCCTCCTCCTCCTCCTCCTCCTCCTCCTCCTCCTCCTCCTCCTCCTCCTCCTCCTCCTCCCCCTCGATATCCCTCTCCTGCTGCTGCGCAGTCGGCACGGCCGATACGAATGCGCGAAGGAATGCACAACCAAACACGTAGCAACGGGACCCGCTCGCTTGTTTGGATTGGGCACGCCCTGCGTCTCCCATCTGGAAGATGCAGAACCCGCCTTCCTCCCCCCACTTTTCCTCTGCCTCCTCTAATCATCCACGTCCTCGCCACTGTCTGTCATCGACTGGCTGCGAGGCCCTGCTGGCTCTCTCGGAAACGTTCTTGCTCACCTCTCAAAAGTGCGCTTCCCCGAACTTACAAAACCTCGGCAACCTTGTGGGCCCTCGGGGGCGAGGAGGGAGGAGGAGGGAACGAGGAGGAAAGAGAGGGGAATGCCGAAATGGGCCCTGACAACACACCCGGACGACCCGCGCAGCTCGCGGGTCCTTCGTCCCCGCCGTCGTGGGGCTCAATGGCTCGACTCCCGAATCTTGGGTGCCTCCCATTCCTCGACTTCTCACTCGCCTGCCCCTTCTCCTGCTGTGCAGAATGGAGGGGAAGTCTCGAGGCGCGACACCCCTCGGCGTCGCGCCTCGGCCCCTTGCCTGTGCAGACACGCTGGCCCCCAACCCGCATACGTTTTTCATTGTCATTCCGCCTCGCGACCACAACCTGTACAGAGGCGCTGTATGTACATGGAGGAAAGGGGCGGCATCCGAGCACAATCTGCGAAGCGTGGCGTGTCAGGATAACGACGACGACGAGGGAACCAGAGAGAGGGAGGGAGGGAGGGAAAGAGAGAGAGAGTGAACAAGATAACAAAGACTGAACACTCGGTAGCAGGGCGGTGGAGTTGACGATGGAGAGAAATATATGGAGAGGCAAGGAGGATCTGAGAGAGGAGGCGGTAAGATCCTGAGGCTTGGCCCTACTGAAGCGATTCCGCGGCAAGCCCCGCAAATACTATTTATGCTTTGGGAGGCCAGATGGCCCGCATTTGAAGTGAATGTGCAGTCGCGCCCAAGGCGCGCGTGTGTGAGCATTTGGTCCGCAGTTCCCGCCGTCCTTCTAATCCTGGTGACCCTACTCCGAGCTTCTTTATACGCGTCTTGGGGGCGCCACCCCCGCCGACAGCCCCGCATCGACCCCTGTCGCGGGCAGCCACCGCGCGCCGAAGGCGCTCCGACCCTCGTCGCGGCGCGACGACGAGGCGAGGTTGACCCCCGTCGGGGGGGGGGACCCCCCCACGCTTATCAAGAAACCCAGAGTGCTCTCCCTCATCATCCCTCATCCACGCCCTCGTCCACATCCTCACCCTCCCTCCCTGGGCGCTCGACTTCCCCCCGGGCCGCGCTCAGAGCGGCCTGACGCACCTGGCTCCTTGACGCGAGAGCCGGGGGGCAGCTCACCGTGCATCCAGCAGCCTGGGCCGCACTCGCAGGACATGTCCGCATGACGGCGTGGCACGCGCCCGGGACAGCGGCTACACGGTGCACCGACAGTCTGCACGGCAGCGTGGCACTCGACGGAAGCAATGGCAGCCCCTGAGATCCGACGTCTCAAAAGAATTGAGACGCCGTGAGACATCGAGCGTGGAGCCCTAGACCCTAGACCCTGTCTTTCTGCGCCATTCGTTCGAGCTGGATCGAGCTGTGAGGGTATCGGGACCCGAAATGATGTGCGACAACGCCCGACCCTCGAACAAATATTATTGAGCCGTCAGGATCTCGGGAGCGCGTCTGCATGGCAGCCTGGGCCCAGTCCCGCCCATAGAGTAGAAAAAAGGGCATAAACATAAACTGTTGGCTCTCCTTGCAGACTTTTTGGATCCGCACGGGGCCCCGCTCCCTCGCGCGCGGAGCGCGCCAGGGGCGGCGCTGGAGGCGCCGCCGGGGGGGGGCAGGGCGGATCCACGAAATCCGCGCGGAGCGCCAACAGTTTATGCTGATAGCGTTTTTTCTTCTTTCAGGGGCGGGACCAGGCCCAGGCTGCCATGCAGACGCGCCCCCTGAGATCCTGACGGCTCAATCACACTTTTCTCGAACCGTGCGCTGTCGCATCTAATCTCGGGCGGGCCCCCGGACCCTCACAGCTCGATCCGGTTCGAACGAATGGCGCAGAAAGGAAGGGTCCAGGGCTGCAGGCTCGATGTCTCGCGGCGTCTCCCTTCTTTCTCTTCTCGGGGGCGGCAAAGAGGGGGGCGTCCAAGAGGAAGGGGGCGCAGATCATGGCCGGCGGCACGTGTGCGGCCTGAGAGGCGCCATGACATCTGGGGAGGTACCGTGGCCCCCGCCACGAGACCCGGCCCTCCCCCCCCCTCCTCCTCTGGCCGCCCCCGAGACTCTGTCCCCTCTTCGAGCCCCGCACGGCCGTCACCGAGAGGCCCACGCCCACGGCGAGCCCCGGCCCGCCCACCGCAGCCCGACGAGCTGCTCCAGGGCGGCCCGCTGCAGGGCGATCGCCTCGGCCGCGGCGAGGGCCTTCGGCTGCGGCCAGGCGCCGGGCAGGAGCGGCCAGTGCGCGGGCGCGGCGGGGGGCCCCCAGTAGCCCCAGGGCGCCTCCAGGAGAAGGAGAACTCCTCCTCCCTCCTCCTCCTCCTCCTCCTCCTCCTCCTCCTCCTCCTCCTCCTCCTCCTCCTCCTCCTCCTCCTCCGCAAGCATAAGCATAGTCCCAGGACGCCTCCAGAAGGAGAAGAACATCGGGCGAGCAGGCCTGTGCACATACACCGGTCCTGGCCAGGCCCGTCCCGGGGCCCAGGATCGGCGCAGATGTCCCCCTGGCCGAGCCACGGCGGCGTATGCACCGATCCTGGGCTCAGGATGGGCCTGGCCAGGATCGGTGTACGTGCATAGTTCTCTTTGCTCTAAAACGCGCCGTAGACATGAACTCTTGGCGCTCCGCGCGGATCTCTTGGATCTGCGCTGGGCCCACACCCTGGCGCGCGGAGCGCACGAGGGGCGGCGCCGGAGGTGCCACCAGGGGGGCCCAGCGCGGATCCAAGAAATCCGCGCGGAGCGCCAAAAGATTACGTGTATGGCGTTTTCTCTTCTTGGAGCCTCGTAGTCCCATGCCGCCTCTAGAGGCCTCCCAGAAGGGGGTCCGAGGCAGGTGGGGCCGGAAGCTCTTCAGCGCCCCTCTAGCGCGGACTCCGCCGACGGGCACTTTGGCCAGCGACCCGGCGAACCCAACCCTCCCCGATGTGGGCAACGCTGCAATGCCAGGAAGTGGCCCTGAAGTGGCAACTTTCGGCAACTCTCCAAAGTACCCGTTGGTGAGCACCCGTTGCGGTACCGCCGAGCTCTGCGCATTTAGGTCGGGCATGTCCCCTTACAGGGGGATTTTGAGCGAAAAATGAAACATAGTTTCAACAAATGCTCCAACAAAAATCAAAAATACCAGAAACATCGTCCCCAGACTATTTTTTCGAGTACTTTTGAATATTCCTCCTGTAGAGGGGCGTGCCCGACTCAAGAAAGTACCCGTCGGTGAGCACCCGCTGCGGTGCCGCCGAGCTCTGCATCGAGCAGCACCGCGGGTGCTTCGGCGATGCGGCGCGATCCTCCGACCCCGTGTGCTCCGGTTGAGGGAAGAAATTAGGCAACACTCCCCCCCTCCCCCGCAATTCAAAGTTGGTACGCTCCTCGAAGACCGCTCGGAGGCCATCAATCGGAACATCCGAAACCAGCATCGCACTTGGTGGGGCAGGAGGAGGAGGGGGGGGGAGTTCGGACCACAAGCGCTCTGCACGAGCGCTGCCCAATTCTTCCCGACACCTCTGCGGCCCCCCGCTGGGAGGCCGAGGGCCTGCTGGCCCCAGTAGCCGTCGGGCAGCCCCAGGCGGGCCCACGGGGCCGCCCCCAGGAGCAGGAAGAGCTCCAGCGTCAGCAGGGCGTCGCTGCCGGCGGTGTGGGCGGCGCCCCGCCGCGGCACGCCGTGGCTCCAGGCCAGCGCCTCCAGGGAGCCGCGCGGCAGCTGGTCCCGCAGCTCGTAGCGCCACGGGCACACCGAGGACAGCTGCTCGTCGAACTCGGCGGCCTCCGCTGGCAGGGGCTTGCCGAACGAGAGCAGCTTCAGCAGGTAACCCAGGTCGTAGAAGCCCGAGAAGGTGAGCCACCAGGGTGCCTGAGGACGCCGGCTCTCCACGTGCACCTGTCCTGGCCAAGCCCGTCCTGGGCCCACGACTGGCTTGACCAGGATGAGTGCAGGCAGACAACTACGAGTCCCCGACGCCTGACGGTGCGACCTGAACATGGGCGAGTCAGCCAAACGGGCGCCGAACTGGTTCGCTGGGATTCCATCAGAAAGATGCCGACGAAAATCAAGTCCAGCCCGCCTCAGGAAGACCATCCCAGCTGCCGAGCTAGCGTCATTCTGCGCATCGAAGCGCAAATTGAAGCTCCACACACCGATCCGCCACTGTGCCTCTGGGCACGGAGTGGGCGTGTCCTCAGGTCCTTTGCCTCATCCTCCGAGCCTCAGTCCTCAGTCCTGAGGAGCTTCTTAGGGACCCGGACCACACATTATCACATCTCGTGGGGCTTCCTGCGTACCCTCTGGGCTCCCCCGCGGCTTGTCTCATCTCTTTTTCGGACCCAAGACGACCCCAAGATGGGCCAGGAGGGCTCCAGGAGGCCTTCAAGACGGCCCAAGAGGGCCCCTGGTCGCCGAAAGATCGTTCCAAGACGCCCCAGGTGGCCCCAAGACGTCCCAGGAGGCCTCCAAGAGGTCTCCCTAGAGGATCCCAAGAGGCCTCCCAATTGATGTTCCATCGTCTTTTGAAGGATTTGGGCGTTCTCGCCTTTTCGGCGGTGCAGACGCTGTCTGAGGCGCGTGGGCCCAGGGACCAGGAGGGGATGCTTGGCGCTCAACCCTATCCTTTTGGACCTGCTGTTGGCAGACACCCACCCAGGACACTCGTTTCAGGGAGCATAGACCCAGACGTGCCTGTGCTTTGGTGCCGCAGGTGCGGAAGCTTCGCAACCACGAAGGTGGGCGCCAGGCTCGCGGGCCCCTGTAGGCCCCAGGCCAGGTGCTCCGAGCGGCAGAGGCTGCTCAAAGGCCGCCTGCCTGGCACGATCCTGCTGCTAGGACCGCCCCAGCCGCTCTCTTCTCTCGGGGGGGGGGAGGCGGGTGGGAGCGGCGAGAGCGACTGACTGTCTGCTGCTCTCTTTCTTCTTTCGGAGTCTCTCGGCTCCTCTTTTCAACTGTAGCTTGTGCTCACATGAGACTTCAGTCGTAGCTGTAACTGTAACTGTAACGGATTTCCGACGCTCCAGGACGGCCCAAGAGGCCCCCAAGACCACCCCAAAATGGCGCAAGAGGCTTCCAAAAGGGCTCCGAGACAACCTAAGAGCACCCCGAGAGGACCCACGAGGCGCCCAAGACGGCCCCAGAGGGCCCCAAGACGGCCACAACAAGGGCCCGAGAGAGGGAACACGAACCGAAAATCCTAGCTTTCCGCCCCAAGAGGCCCCCAGGAGGCCCCCAGGAGGCCCCAAGAGGCGCCCAGGAGGCCTCAAGAGGCCCTCAAGGCCCCAAGAGGCCCCCAAGAAGCCCAAAAGAAGCTCCAGGAGGCCGCAAGACGGCCCCCAAGAGGCCTCCAAAGTGCCCCCAAGAGGCCTCCCATGAGATCCCGACAAACATCCAATAGGCTTCAAACCCGCAACCCAGGCACGGTGGCGGCATGGGCCGAAGGCCATTTTATCGCCGCCCCCCTGTGGTCTTGCCACAGGGGCTGGGGCTCCGGCCCAGCGCGCCAGCCACGCGGAAGGCCCCCAAATGAGCACCACGTCCACAAACGAATCTCCAACACGGCTCAAGATGGCTTCTAAGATGGTCACGTTGCCCCAATATGGCCTCCAGGATGGCCCAAGATGGTCCAAGTTGCCTCCAAGTCCGCCCGAGCAGCCACCAAGACGGACCAAGATGGCTCCAAGATGCCTCCGAGTCCGCCCAAGTAGCCTCCAATATGGCCCAAGACGGCCCAAGAGGCTCCCAAGACGTCCTCTAGTGTTCTTTATGTTTTGAAGGATTTGGGCATTTACTTCTTTTCGGCCTTCCGATTGCCCAAGACGGCCCAAGAGGTCTTCAAGAGGCCCGAGAACGGCCCACGAGGCCCCAAGACGGCCCCAATAATCCCCGAAGACGGCCCAAGATGGCCTCCAAGACGTCCAAGATGGCCTCCAAGACGGCCCTCGAGCACCTCTAAGAGGGCCCCAAATCGGCCCAGAGAGGCCCCCTAAGACGGCTTCCGACGGCGTCAGACGGGCCAGGAGCCCACCAAGACTGCCGAAGATGGCTCCAAGGTAGCCAAAGAGGGCTCAAGTGGCCCCCAAGAGGTCTCCAAGACGGCCCAAGGGGCCTCCAAGAGGCCTCCAAGAGGGCCTCCAGGAAGGCCTGACGAGGCCACAAAAATTAATGTTCCATTGGTTTTTGAAGGATTTTGGCATGTGCTTCTTTTCGGCCCACCGACGGCCCGAGACGGCCAAAGAGCCCCCCAAAATCACCCAAAAATCGTCCAAGAGGCCTCCAATGAGGCCCCAGGACGGCCGAAGAGGCCACCAAGACGGCCCCAAGAGGGCCCCAAGACGGCCCAAGAGACCTCCAAGACGCCCAAGACGGCCGCCAAGACGGCACTGGAGCACCCCAAGAGGGCCCCAAGTCGGCCTAGAGAGGCCCCCAAGACGGCTTCCGACGGCGTCAGACGAGCCAGGAATGCCCTAAGACGGCCAAAGAAGCCCCTGAGAAGCCCCGAAAGGCGCCCAAGAGGCCCAAGCAGGCCCCCAAGATGCCTCCCAGAGGCTCCCAGGAAGCTCCCAGGAGGCCCCAAGAGTGCCCCCAGAGGCTCCAAAGATGCCCTCTCCTCCTGCTCCTCCTTCTCCTCCTCCTCCTGCTCCTCCTCCTCCTCCTCCTCCTTCTCCTTCTCCTTCTCCTCCTCCTTCTCCTCCTCCTCCTGCTCCTGATCTTCCCCGCCATCCTCCCCCAAGCGTTCCCTGAAGGGTTTCCACAACGGCTGGGGAAACTTATGGTCCGATAACTTGGCAGAGCTCGTGTCACAACGCTCGGCCGCATTGGCGCTTTCAAAAGGCAGGAAGCGGCGGAGATTCGCCGTAGGCGTCTCTGATAAGGGTCCTGTCAGCACCAGCTACAGCGATCCCAACCTGCACAGGCCATAACTTATCTACATTTTCGCGGAGCACCTGATACCGGACGGCCTTGGAACACGCACGAGGCTCCTCCCGGACGAAGCCAGGGAACTCCATGTCCAGTGCAGTCAGGCAACCTCCGTACCGACAGGCCGCGAGCATGGCCCTGAACTCGGCCTCGAAGTTCCAGGCCCACACCTCACGAATTACGTCGCCGCCGTCGCAGCGGTCGGCGTCCCAGTGCGGCGCGCGGGTGCCCTCCGCTGCTCTCGAGGACACCGCTGCAGCTCTCATCAGGTCGGCCTCCACCTGCTGCACGGCCACCGCCATGGCCGGAGCCGCTGCCTCCCCGCGCGGGAGGCCCCGTCACCGCCTGGCTGCCTCGGGCAGGCCAGCGCAGCTCTGAGCCACAAGTCGGCTGCGGAGGGGCCACGCGGCCGCACGCGCCCGGAGGCCCGGAGGGAGCCCGGCTCCGGCACGGGCAGAGCCCGTCGGCAGTCCGCGCGGAGGTCCCGAGCCTGCGCCGGATCCCCCCCCTCCCGGGCGCGCGGAGCGCGACAGGCGGAGCGCCGCCAGGGGCGCCGTCGGGGGGCCCAACTCCGATCCAAGAAACTCGGGCGGCACTCTCCAGAGACGAGTATGTGAGCGATGTGTCTGTTGGTCGAGAGGCGGCAGAAGGCGGGAGGGAAGCCGTCCCCTCCTGCTCCCGCTTCTCTGTGATGGTGCTGGACCTGACGGCGCAGCAAGAGTGGCATCTAGTGTTTTGTGTTCCCAGTGGGTAGCCAGACTTTGAGTCCCCAGAGTCTCACGTTTGTTCCAGCTACTCGCGCTCCAGTATGTCTGGAAGGTTGTCTCAGTGGCGGTCCACGGCAAAAAACTTCCTCCTTCTACTCCTCCTGTGTGTTGGAGCTGTCCAGCAACAAATCATATATAGCAGAGCGTCGTTGTCGTAGGCGTGCGCCCACCAAGACCCGTGGCCGCCGGTGACGTTGTGTGTCATGGTCGGTGGGTTGCCGCATCTGGCCAGCTCGGAACCTCTCCATTGAACTTGCAGCACTCGTCGCCGCGCGATTGCACCACGAAGTTGGCCATGTCGACGAGCGCCGCCACCAGCTGCTGCCGGCGCTCGGGGAAATGGTACGAGCCAACTAGGGCGATACCCGCGAAGATGCTGGGGCACTTGGCCGCGACCTCCCAAGCAGCATGGCCTCCCATCGAGCATTCTGTGGCATGAACGCGTGCCTGGTCGCACCACTCCGCCGCGGACAGGTGGGCAATCAGCTCAGCGACCCAAGGTGGCTGCAGAGACCTCGAAGTGTGTGAAGGAAGGATTAGCCGAAGGGCCTATCCCCACCGAGTATCCACTGGCAAAGGCATGTAAAGGCGATAGCAATGAATGAAGGACGATGATGAAGGTTGTACCCTGCTCCACAAGTCCGTCACGCATAGGTATGTGCCAATACCTGCGAGCCGAAAGGGGCAGCGGTACAGCAAAGAGTAGGAAAGGTACGGGGATAATTCACACGAAGACAGCCTCACAGCGCCCCAACAATTCCCGACGCGCCCCAACTTCCCCCACGGCAGGCGGCGCCGCAGATCGCAGCGTCGACTGGGCACGTGGAAGGACTTGCCATCGTCGTCTGGGTGGACTTCACGAGATTTACGACAGACCTCGCCAGCTGGCCATGTTCTCCGTCTGCGCTTCACATGGAAAAAAAAATCGCACATTGCACGCGGCTTCCATCTGAGACCTCCTGGTTCTCGCAGGAGCGCTCTTAGCTCTCACTGCCGTAAAATTAGCGCTGCCCTTGACTGCCTTACGCTGATCTGTCGACCCACAGAACAACCAACGGGAGTCCTTGTCCACGGGAGCCCTTGTCCCTGACCTGTCCAAGGGAGCCCTCGTTGTCATAAGACCCCAACGTCGAAGTGGAGATGACACGGGCGGCCCAGCCACCCCATTGGTATCGGACGAAGCCAGATCGACGTCGGACGTCGGACGCGATAGCCGTCCCCCCTTTGGGGGCTCCAAGCTGTGAGACGGCCCGATGGAGATTGCTGTCCTGCTGGTGCAGGGTCTCCCCTGTCTCTCGCCCCGCCTCTTGATTCCTGCCTCTTGCCGCTCCCGTGTCTCGGGGGCACGCAAAATTGATTAGCGATCCATGGATCTGGCGCGCGGTCGCCAAATCCATGGATCAGGGCAGGTGCCCTCCCCACACTGCGGCCGGTGCCGCCTCGGCGGCGGAATTCCGCGCCTCGCCGATCCGCGCCCCCTCGACCCAGGTCTGCGGTCGCCTGCCTCCCGCCGCTCCCGCATCGTCGCCTGCTGCTGCCTGCTCACGAGGGCCCACGGCGCCCCCCGAGAACAACCTCCCGAGGGGGGGGGGGGGCTCGCAGGCCTCCGGCCGCTCTCCCGGTGCCCCCCCTTAGGGGTCTCCGCTCGGCGAGCACCACTCGCCATCGCTCGGGCGTCCGTTCCCCGTGCATCGGTGGATTTCGTGCGCGTGCTTTTCCGCAGGATGGCCCCAGATGCTCCTCGACGGTCCCCGCCGAGAAAAATTGCACACGTCCGAGCGATGCCAAGACCACCGAGCGGCCGCGAGGGCCCAAGAGGCATCCAGGACAGCCCCACGAGTCCCCGAAGTGGTATCCATGACTATGCCAGAGTCGGCGCGGAATGGTTCAGGGATGCCGTCAAGACGGCCCCCCAACCCACCAAGACGGCCCGAGAAGGCCAAGCATATTGAAGCAGCGCTTGTCATCACACGACGTTTGTCTGTCACTTGTTTTGCCTCCAAAATGCCCCAAACGAGCTCTCCAAGACGGCCTGGGGAAGCCAAAATTTCCCATGCATTGCCAAAGGCGACCACAGGTGACTCCCGGAAGCCCGCCAAGGTCCCCCTGAGACCGCCGAACATGCTCCCCAACTTGACGATGGCCCCCACTTGGGGCCATCTGATGTCCTCCTCGGCGACCTGGGGGCACCCGGGGGCCCGTGGGGTGCCCCCAGGGGGCTCCCCAGGAGGACTGGGACACCGAGGCCCCCAGAACGACGCGATCTCTGTACCCGGGGGGGTTGACAAACATACGGTCGAAACTGACGGTACAGATGCGCAACAAGGATGCAGGCCCCTTGGACGCCCGTGCTGACGCCTCTTCGAGCGCGGCGGGCCATCGAAAGCAGTCAAGGATGGGCCAAAGAGGCGCAGATGCAAGGGCACCCTTGGGAATATTACCATCCTTACCATCGGTTTCGACTGTACCGACACCGCCACTCACGTTCCGACCAGAATTTCGAGGAGAATCCAGCCGTGGCGACGAGGGCTCTCCATGACGAGTATCGATATAGGTCTATGTTCCTCCCCTGAGTGCCGCCGCATCGACACGCCTCAAGACGGCCAGACAGAGCCCCCAAGCAGTGCCCCCAAGAGGGCCCAACGTGGGCGGGAACATGATTCATACCGATACTCCCCGGACCTCTGCCAAGGTGCATTCTGACCAGAACTTCGAGGACAGTCTGGCCGTGGCGACGAGGACTCTCCAGGATGAGCAGCGGCAACGGTAACCAGTCTCTTCTGCTCTCCTGAAAGCCGCCATCGAGAGGCCTCTAGCCGGCCCACCAGGATCCCAAGGAGAGCCCACCAGGAGACCCCAACGAAGGGGGACCAAGAACTACCAATGCCGCTACTTCCCAGACCTCTCCAGGGGTGCATTCTGACCCGGCGAATCCAGCCAGATCGACGAGGGCTCTCCAGGATGAGCAGCGGCATTCGTATATGTTCCTCCTCAGAGTGCCGCCGCCGAGAGGCCTGAGGACGGCCCGAGAGTGCACCCCAGGCCCACATCCCCGCTGTCACGTGTTCTTCATTATGTGGAACCCCCAGGAGGCCTGGACTCCTTCCAGGGACCAGCGCTTCATTCTGAGCCGTTTCTTGACGGTCCCGACACTGGCAGCTGCACCAGGAGGCCAAAAATACGGTGATGGCATTGGATACGGAAGCCTTCGATAAGGGTCTGGAAGCCCGTGAAAAGCCAATCGTGGATTGGCCATGGATATGGGCCGCCCTCGCCAGATCGGGAAGCCCCAAGGGTCTGAAGCCCCCTGGGCACATTCCTTAACGAATGCCGCCGCCGCAGTCAGAGGCCCCGCGTCGTGAGACTTCAGGCCTCGGAAAAAATAGCGAACACTCATGCCACATTCATCTGTCAACGCCTCCCCCTCCCCCAATGTTCAAAGCTGGCGGTGGGTCCGATGAGTTGCACCTCGACCGCAGCCTCCCCCCGTGCGCGCCCACTTTGAGTCTGGGGGGGCAGGGGGGTGTTCACTGGGCTTCAGGCGCAAAGGGGGCCTGGTGGTTTTTAAGCGTGATCTTTTTCAGCTCCAGACTGGATGATTCGGCGGGCTTTCGGTCCTCCGAGGGTTCCACGCTTTTCTCTCTCTCTCTCTCTCTCCCTCTCGCTCTCTCTTCTGTGGGTTTTCGTTCGTCGCGCATTCCTCTTCCTCCTCATCCTTCTCCCACATCCTCCTCATCCTCTTCCTTTACGGAACAAGATCAAGCAAAACCAGAGGAAACAAACAAAACAAAAACAACAAAAACATAACAGCAATCCTCGGGAACTTCCTGGGGGGTGGGGTGGAGGGGGGAGAATCCCTCAGGATTGTTTCTTTGCTTTTTTTTTCATTGTTTCCTATGGTTTTGCTTGATTCTTCTCCGCAAGGAGATTCTGTTTGGGAGGAGGAGGAGAAGAAGGAGGAGGAGGAGGAGGAGGAAGGGGAGGAGGGGGAGCAGGAACAAGGAGGAGGAGGAGGAAACGAAGGAGGAGGAGGAGGCGGAGGAGGAGGAGGAGGAGGCAGCAAACGCGAGCAGGCACGCCGCACTTCGCCCGAGGCTCAAACTGCCCGCGGCGCGCCCGCGCCCACCCCACGCCACCTGCAGCGCTCCGCCCTCAACCCCTTGGCATGGGAAACCCCAAGGCTGGAACGGCCGCCTACGAGAAGAAGAGGGAACGCAACCGCGTGTACAACGCGGCCAAACGCGCGGCTCAAAAGGCTGCCGCCCTCGAGGCGGTGGTCGCGCCCTACAAGAGGAAGATCACCCAGCTGGAAAAGAGGGTGGGCGGATGAACGAATCTGAAAGTGCGCCAGGTGCGCGGTGCGTGCCAGGTGCGCAGTGTGCTTTCATGTGTGCCATTTGCGCCACCCCATGTGGACTTGGTGCGCGACCACAGGGCCGACTTTTGGGAGAAGCTGCAGACAACGGGGGACTTACGGGGGGGGGGCAGGAGGCAGGGCGGCAGCGAGCGAAAACACGCTCCTCCGAGGAGGCTCTGAGGCGCTGCCAGAACCAGCTCAACTACCAGAAGGGCGCCCGCACGAGGGCGGAGAAGCAGCGCGACGAGGCCGAGCGCAAGCTCCAGCG